TCACAATAATCCAGTTGGGAAATTAAACCCGAGGTCCGAAATGGAGTCACGTGTGCCTCTCGTCTTGTCTCTTATTATAAAACTATTATAAGATGTAGTATACAGTATCTTTCATTAAAATGGAAGTGATGATATGGGTAGCAAGCTATTGCAAACCAAACCAACTGCGACATTGGAAAAGCAAGGATGTAAGAAAGGATGAGTTCATGATAGGAAAATCGAAATCGTCATGCTAAGCGTACAGCTTAGTAGTGAGCCGTCCGTGCTGGTCATTCTGTAGGTCAAGATCTAGGATAACGGCATCAGTAGCAAGAGTATGTAGTGTCCTTGATTTCACATACAGGAGGGTATGTGATCTCGTTTAGTGCTACTAAAAGAGGGTATGTGATCTTGTTTAGTGTTACTAAAAGAGGGTATGTGATCTCGTTAAGTGTTACTAAAAGAGGGTATGTGATCTCGTTTAGTGTTACTAATAGAGCACGTCGATCGATACATCGGAAATTGAAATTCAAGGTCTTGGTTTCGATTTACTAACCAGTTCTGGTAAGCTCTTCTAACAGATTCAACCTCATATGATGGCAAAAACAAGCTAGTGTTAACCTAGTAAATGCACTTCTGAAAAGAATGCCGTTCATTCATTGATCAAGCACAGTCATACATGTTGTATGGTGGTCTAAATGAGACTAAAGGGGCTCCATAAGAATATTGTAGTGGTCGTCCGGGACGTCTTGACATGTAAAATTAATTAAACAATTGTTAGAAAATTCCTCTTTTTACTTTAAAACCTGCTATGAACAAGTAATCGGGTTTTGAAAGAGTCATCCCCATATAGTTGGTCATTGATGAACAATGTATAACTAATTCTTTTTTAAATGCACACAGGGGAGATCATTATAATATTTATGTTTTGAAGGTTGTAGGTGGTATGGAGACATAAATCGTCACTTACAAAAGAAAACTGATGCACTTAATAAATCGTCAAAATGTATTTGTTAATGCCAACAAAGCATTGTTCAATGACGGATAAGGACAATCGAATCTGTCATAGTCAAGTCACGTGACCGGAACCACGTTATCGTATCGTATCAAGTTTTGAGTGTTACCCGTGAAGAATTTACCTGTTTAATACCTCGTTAGGTAGAGATGATATAAATCACTAGAATGAGGGTAACCCCGACCACAAATATCAATTCTACACTTGATCTACGTGTCGTCTGCTCACGTGGCGGGAAATGGACATCTGCTTATAGTGATACGAAAGTAAGGCATAGTTCAAGGACAGCTTTGATTACTTTATAGGCCCATAGGAAAAATTGAATAACTCTCTAAACATATGTTCGGTTAAAAAAATATCCCAACAAAAAAGAATGGTTACTGAATAATGGCTACGACTGAAAAATGCTTCCGAATAATTATGCCAGTTCTATCAAATGAAGAAATATACTACAACGAATCCATTTCAAACTGGGTCTTTTATGTTCAATGTGAGCATACACTAAAGATAAATCGTTTTATTGAAGATGGGCTCCACAAAATGCCAATTTCATAAGAAGAGAATTTCATGTGTTTGACAAATTGACAATACCATAAAAGATTTATGTCGCTTTCATACAACGCAAACAACCCCAAGCATACCACTTCATTCAACACTTCGGGTGCCATTATTAAAAAGCTCTTTTGAAATATTTTCCGTTAAATAAAAACCTAATTCCATACACGAGATAGAGGAGATAACTTTATCTAGCCTGTCCGTCGCCATTGTTAGGAAATCATGAAGTGATGCTCCAAGATAAACAAACATAAAGACAGCGACACGCTTATGAGGTATATGGAACAAACAAAAAACAAGTGCTGCCGCGACAAGAATTCGTCTTGGCTTTTCTTTGGATCGGTTCCAGTTCTATAAGCGCTATAATAACACGAAAGCACCCGTTCAAACAGCCGTAGGTGTTCGACCCCGTACTCAACTACAGGACGTCACGATTAGCGTTCGGCACGCGCCATTTCGGAGTTTTGTCTCAATATGGTTGTGTAACATAATCCCAAAAACACCTGCCTCGCCGTATTGAAGCCCAGACAACAGGTGCCCATTCCCCAGTGCAGCCGTGATAACGGTGTATACATGTCGCCTGCTTCACATCTATCCATAGTCCACCTAACCGTCATACACACGCGAGGTGGGCACGGTCTGCAATTTAAATGCAATGTCACGTATTGCGAGTCTCACGTGCGGTTATGGCAGTCAATCAGGTTTTTATTTATCATCTGGTGGCTTTTTTTTTTATTCCTAACAGTGCTTCACCGCTTACACAATGCAGGACATCTTGTGTGCTTTTAGACTGCCTGACGTTCACCGTTAGTCGACTGTAGAATCCATGAGTGTAAAACGTTTTCTGCAACATCAATGTCCATCCTGTTCAACCATGTAATACCAAACAAATTTGTATGTACATGGGTAAATTTGGTTTTATAGGGTTTAACGTTCTATCATTAAACGAGGTGAAAGTGTGTGTTGAAGGCGTTATGGCCTCTCTGTGATAGCGCGGATATGATGCCGACTTTATATATAGGGCTACCTCGCTGAAATACCATGCCGAAGACACCCAGCATAGTATTCCGTCCTGTTACATTATTCTGACAAAGGGTAAACCAGTTGTTGCCATTATCCAAAATTCTGAACGTTAAGCAAGGAATAACTACTACAATTTTTAAGGACTTTGGTATATCCTGGCATGGAGACGGAACGTATTGTCTTACTCACCTTGGCGAACGTCCTGGTTTTCTCATCAGCCCTTAATTCGATGTGTATAACTAGGGACCATTGGGAACCTTCATGTCAAATTTTAGAAAGATCCCTCTAGTACTTTCTGATATATAAATAGCGCTAACAAAAACTGTTTAAGGACGGACAGCGCACGGACGAAGGGCGATTTGAATATTATGATGGAGCGCTTAAAATGTTACCACGAAAGAGTGAATGTTAAAAATTAAAATAAAGCATCTTTACGTTTTCAAAACCTTATACCACATGCATTCAGAAATATGTTACCAATATGACATCGTAAAAACCAATACATGTGTCAGTTAAAGGTAGAACAAAAATGAATGCATGTGTTGGCCAAAATGAGATTTAAGATGCGTCAGCAAAAACGAATGTATGTTTAAGTGAAAATGAGAATTAAAACGACAGTTGTCTGTCAGTCTTAAGGAGAACGAAAACGAATGACTATGTCAACAAATAGGGGGATATCATTGTTTGCCGCCTAAACGTCGAATATCATAATTTTCGGTTTCAATCAGATAGTAACATCGTTTGCGTTGTGTCAACGAGAGCGATATTTTGTCATGTTAAAGACAGTGTAATCGATTGTTTTTGCCATCGACAGTGCACCAAAGAAAGTGAGGTCGTGTGAGTTATATCCGACATTATTTGGGTGGTGCTAAAAAAGTGAAATAGATTGTATTGTGTCAAAAAGAGTGAAATAGATTGTATTGTGTCAAAAATAGTGAAATAGATTTATTGTGTCAAAAAAGGTGAAAAAGATTGTATTGTGTCAAAAAGAGTGAAATAGATTGTATTGTGTCAAAAAGAGTGAAATAGATTGTATTGTGTCAAAAAGAGTGAAATAGATTGTATTGTGTCAAAAAAAGTAAAATAGATTGTATTGTGCCAAAAAGAGTGAAATCTTTTGTGTTGTGTCCGAGAAATATTGGTTCTCTCACCAATCACAGATTGAAATCATTTGACATATCAAAAACAGAAATATGACAAGTTTTGCGTCAATCAAAGAGATTGTGAATATTTGTTTTGTCATCTAAAGGAGTAAAAGTTTTTTCTCTCTCAAAGGGAAGGGGATAATGTTTACCTTTTGCAACTCAAAGAGAATATGTTTCATGTTACGAAAAGAGAGTTTGTTGACATTTTTTAATGTTGCGAAAAGAGAGATTGTGGACGTTTTTAATGATACCAAAAGAGAGTTTGTGGACATTTTTTAATGTTACGAAAAGAGACATTGTGATTATTTTATTTTAGTTACCAAAATGCACAATTAGCTTGTTTTTTTCACTCAGAGAGTAAGGAGACAATCCTACGTCACAAAGATATGTTTATTTTTGCATCTCTCAAAGGGACAGTGAAATAGCTTGCAATTTGTCATACATAGAAAAAATTAGCGTATTTCACAACAAAATCAAATTAAGTAACAGAGAAATGAAAGGTAACACTCAGCCAACGAAAAGTGGATGAGTTATAAAGGAGGTTTAAATAAATGTCTGTATTTACATCAACAGTAACAATTGGGCCTACAAAAGATTCCCAATCATTCCAGTTATCATAGAGGTGTCAAGAACACGTGTGGGAGTATTTGTCCCAAACGTTGTCTGTTTTATCACTTCTTAAGCGCTCCAAACAAATTGTGAAAAGTGCATTTCTTCATTTAATTTTGTTGCACTTTTGTTGTCACACAAAAAGTGTCACTTTTAATAAAACATTATGCTTGGTTGGTTTTTAAGCATGATGTTCTTACAAAGCAGACGTCTGCTTCAAAAATTATAAGATGTCTCCAGTTCACTGGAGCAAGCACTAATTAGATCTGTTTGGAAATGTAAATAAAGCGTTCACACCAAATACAAACCTGCCATTTTTGTTATGAACACTGTGTTTGCCGCTTCCAAGCTAATAAAATTAACTGTTTTCACACTTATTTTAAAATGAAAGAATATTTTTTTCACTATAAAGAGATGACAAAAAGGAATAGACATTTAGAAGACACCCTTGAGCCATAAATCAATTTTTCAAACATAAATTATATTTTCCAAAATTGTTTATGTCTATTTTTTTCGAAATTAAAAACATTTTCCTTTCATAGCACAAACTGGGATGCCGTGTTTGTGCCGCATGCAAAACTCATCCAGTACACACCCATAGTAATTAAATTACACCTGCTCGTTTGTAGGGATGGAGGAAATTTACAAAAAAAACAGAAAAAAGTAAGACAGAATATCATCATTCGAATTATTTTAATGACATAGCATCAATGAATACAATACATTCCCTTTAACATACCTTGTGTGACACAAAACAGTTTATTCTTCATGGTGAAATGCATTGGACCATTTCATAACAACAAATGATTAAAACCTGTCAAACTATTTTTCAATAAATGAACACACCTTGGTTTATAAATATATATTTTATGACCCTAACATCACTAGAAATGAATCACAGTTTTTGTGATACGAAATCAAACTTTCATAATTTGGACTTTGAAAACCCGGGAGCCTTGTTCGCTACAAATATATCACTCAGGAAATGAATAATGTTTCTGTAAGTGACATAGATTGTAATGTTTTGGCTTTTTTTTTTTGGTGAAACCAAATTTTCCATATGAACATGTTCCTCTGACTACAGACTTTTCAGTAACTAGACCAGTACAAGTAATCAAAATCACTATTGCTACTTCATGTAATGGAATAAAAAATTTAAAAGCAGAGATTATTTTTCTTTCCTCCTTGTGCATATATGGCTGAGATGTCAATGATGCAAATGTTCGTACATAATAATTTATGTGCATGAAGTCACAATGAGACAGTCAAGAATTCAGGAATATTCCAATGCAGCAAAGTGGAAAGTTGCAGCCCCTTTTTGTGGTTTCTGAGCTAATTCTGGTGATAGGAATGAGAGATCAAGAGGTGTTGGATAGTGAAATTCCATTCTCATTTTTTTCAAATTGGTGGAAAACCCTCGGCAAAAGCCTTGGGTTTCACCCGATTTGAAATATCCTTCTCTATAATCCAACTCACTGCTCCCATCCCATCCCAACCCAATCCCACTTAATAAAAGAGATTGGACCCTTCTCTATGATCCAACCCACTGCCCCCATCCCAACCCAACCCCACTTAATAAAAGAGTTTGGACCCTTCTCTATTATCCAACTCACTGCTCCCATCCAAATAAAAGAGTTTGGACCCTCCTCTATGATCCAACCCACTGCTCCCATCCCAACCCAGCCCCACTTAATAAAAGAGTTTGGACCCTCCTCTATGATCCAACTCGCTGCCCCCAACCCAAACCCACCTCACTTAATTAAGAGTTAAGAGTCCTGCCCTGTTCCACTTAAATAAGAGTTAAGAGTCCTGCCCTGTCCCACTTAATTAAGAGTTGAGGGTTCTGCCCCGTCCAACTGAATTAAGAGCTTGGAGTCCTGTCAGAGCTGTGACTTAGGAAGTTGAGATTCTCCTTATCCTCCTGTCCCTCTGAGTCTCCATCCTCTACTTGCATTGTACCATCCCCTTCTGGAGCCCCTCTCATATCACTGTCTCCCTCTGGGACCCCACTGGTGTCAACTGGGACCCCACTTATGTCTGCTTCTGTCAGATCTCCAGTCTCGTCAGCCTCATCTTCATCCTCTTCTTCCTCCTCTGCATCCATCAGGAATATCCGCACTCGTCTCTTAGATGAAAAAAGCTGTTAAGGAAAATTGGAAAAGACTTGTAATTAGCTATATCGCATACTCCATTTGATGTTATAAGGATCATTTGTACAGGTATAAATACCATCAGATGCAGACAATATTTCTGTAAAAGGCTGCTCAAAGCTGTAAAAAGTTTTAAGACTATATTTGAACATTTTATTCCCATTGCTCCCCCCACCCCCACACACTTATCTATGAATTTGAACCATCACCAATGTAGACACTTTGAAATAAAAAAAAGAATCACTTACGACTGTTGCTGTTTTGCGGGTACCACTGACAGAGAAGGAGTGGGCTTTCATGTTGTCTAGCCGCTGACAGTTGTGAAACTCCAGTTTCTCTGCGATGTCAATCACATTTCTGTAACACACACATACAAAGAACATTTTTTACATATTTGTTTACATTTATTTAATCATAGCTTATTTTGTTTTGTTTTTGTTGGACAAGACAATTGCAAGAATTTCTCAATTATATGAGGATGTAAGTAACCCAGCTACACAAATAGCCAGGAGCATCCTGGGAAGTAATCCTGCGAAAGACTGGAGTTCTACATACCATGATAACAGACTAAGCAGACTATTAGGCTTGAAAACCACCTTTTAACTTTTGCTGAATATATCCTCCAATAGAATAACAAAATCTGATAATCAGAAGCTCACTTTTAATTCCAAACTGATTTCTGTCCCTTGTTAACATACTGTATATCAAGAATATTTCAAAAGTATTTAATTTTCATTTTCTATACTATACAATGACAATCATGACAAAAATAAAAGGGCAAACTTCCGATAATACATATATCGGAAAAAAATAACACTCATTTGCATGGGTATAAAAATGTGAAAATTAAATTGCAGAAATTTGATTTTGAACATTTGGTTTTAAAATCTTCACTGTCTGAATAACCTATTCTTCAGTGTTTTATGGTGTACATGTATTTGTAATAAATCGCTTGAATGCCCTCTTTTATAACATCAACATAACAGTAGTTCTGTTGCATAAAGTTAATAAAAACATCATTTCAAAATACAATTTAACTTTAACATTCCTTACCTTCTGGAAATTCCTTGAGATTTTCCAGAAGAAAGCAGTACCAAAAATTAAGGATCTTTTTCTTTACTCGAATTTATTCCCAAACTCTAATAGTGCTTTCCAGCAGGAAACTTATAAGTTCAGAAATTTCCTGACGTCAATAAACGTTAGTGAAACCAGGGGCACTTGTTTTTTTCGTCACAATAACCAGCCATGCATGGTCACTTAAAAATGACAACATCTCTTTAATCCTGTATCAAAATTTGATATGTTTGCTGAAGAACTCTAGAAAAGAATTTGAACAAGTTAGTTGTGTTGTACTTTGGGTCTGTGTCAGTAAGCTTTCCCACCATTTGTAGTAAATATACAAGCATATTTATATTTGACATTCAATACTTATGAGAGCTAGATATTAAAATGATATTTACGAGTCAGTGACACCCAAATCTAATGACCTTTGACCTGGGTATTGATAAAAATCATTATTTTTATGGGTCATTAGGTACAACGCCTATAACACTGAACCAGTTGTAGCCAAGGCCTGGGAAATAGATTTATTAATTCAAAGATAATAAACTAATTGTTTGACCTGGACTAAACACACTTCCTTTTTGTTTGATTTGTTAAATATGTACGGTACAAACCATAGAAAAAAACTGTATTTGGTCGATTGATATAACAGTGGAGAACTGAAATGTACCTTTTTAATGTTAACATTGATTTCCGGGCACTACAACCACAATCTGCACTGAGAAATGATAGAATTTGAAAAGTCTCAATGTTTTTAGGATTGAATCTTGCTTTGGTCGATTTCATGGCGTGACAAATTGAGCTGGTCTTGAAACAAACTTAATAAACTGCGAAGCGCAAAAACATATTTTGAATGTCATCTTTAATTTTTGTTGATGAATTAATAAGTTTAAATATAAAATGTTCTGATGCGTATTCATATGCACAGGCAATGTTAATCTGGTCAATTTCATGGGCAAATGAAACAGGTTACATTTGGTAGTTGCATTGAGTCCAATTTGAGAAGAAATTGAAATATTTATAAGTATATATTTTGATGTTTGAGTCATTAATGTAATAGCGGTTTGCTAAGGGTCGAACCCAGGACCTCGATCTGTCTCTCTCATCCATTGTTCCACCGAACGAGATAAAGAGCCAGTAGGATTATGTTAATACGGTAAGTATTTTACCAAGATGACGTCATTGACATTAACTCATTCACCCCTGAAGACACATTTGAACTCTTCTAACTCATAGGTTGGAATAGTTCATTGTGAAATTTCAGGGGTGAATGAGTTAAGGCTTATACTGTTAGCCTATACTTGGTTCGCTATATTTGTCAGAAACCAGAGTTGATATGCTGCCCTCATTGCAACACTTCAGAGATATACCTTTTCTTTTGTCACTACTCTACTGTTTCTCATGCGTGCCAACTTTTTAAAAAAAATATCTATAGATTACAAGTGCTCAGAATATACACCCTAAGGAAAAAAAACATGTTTAAGCATCATCTTTTGAACTGTTCTTTCAGATAAAAACATTAGATCTTAAAAAACTAGAAATGGTTAGGCAAAATCACTGGTTGAAAATGCTCAATTTTAGAGTCCAAAATCGTGAGTCTCTCACCAAAATAGGGAGAGTTGGCAAGTATGCTTTCCTCTCAGAGGTGTCTCCCTAGGCACCCATCGTCATGTGACCTTAGCGGTTGCAAAGACGTTAAACCTAAAACAAACAATATCTTTCCCTATAAATATCAGTTGTTTGGAACAAAACCACAAAGGAAGTCAGAACTTACAGACTGAAACCTTGTATACTGCCATCTGGTGGCACAGTTGTGTACATGGAATCCGCAATTACCACCAGGGGGAGCTGTACTAACACTGGTGTTTCATCTTCACCTTCTTCAACCAACAGAAGGGAGAGTGTTTTCTCATCGTAGTAACCCACGTCTTGGAGGAAGTGCTTACAGCACCTGTAACAAAGGAAAAAGTAAGAATGTTTATTAAAATATTCAAGAAAGATGGATGTTTGTCATTGAATGTTCAAGAACAATCTAAGTTTTCCATGATCAGAATTCAAAGCAAACCCAATTTGGAACTCAGTGAAAACAGACACAAGCAGAGAAAGTGGTTCACATTTCATAACTTTTTGTTTATTTTCAAAAAACAATTTTTGTTTTATTCTTAATATATTTTAAAAGTAGTTATCAGGTATGGATGGTGGACATTATAAGTAGTACATACTTATCATGACCTTAAACTTGGCACGCTTATACTTATAACACAGGTTAACACACTCACAACACTTAGATCATGAAGTAGCTACGGTGATTCAGTAAACACTGGTATACCTTAATGCGATAATTTGATAACTAAACTAATGGGAAGGAAAACGATCCACAAAATGAACGTCTAACATATTATGCGTACTTAATGACAAAGAAATACGGACACTTTGTCATTATTTTCTTTTAAATTCCCAAATTACAGGCTTGAGATGATTAATTATTTCGATACAAATATACAAATTTTGAAATAAATATGTTTGAGTTAGCCTTTCTTATATAGTAGCCTGGCTACTCTAAATTATAGAAATATGATCCAGTTTCCTACGTCTTTTTCTATTTTCAAAACGTTAATGGTGAATTGACATGCAACTATCTCCCCCTGCTGTTCCATTAATACTTAAACACACTAGAAAAATGTCTAAACATCATCTACACACATTCTTAACAAATCACTGCACCCTCCGTAAATTATTTCCAAATACATGAAATGAAATTAATTTTAAAATCAATGTGAAAAATAATTTGTAAAGCAATACAATGTGAATAAATTACATGGATTAATTTTCATGTGTAATTGGTGTTAAAAGTATTCCATAAATCAGTATGATTTTATTCAAAAGAATTAAGTGATATTTTGACAAATTTGAAGATAATTATATGCTTAATAGCCCTGTGCCCATCTTGCTATTCTGTGTCTTCAGGGACAAATGTAATGACGGGTAAACAAACTCAATCTGGGTCAAGGTGTTATATTGAGTTATAACTTCAAAAAATGCATTTAATTGAATATCATAAAACCGCATGGTAATGGAAGGGTGAGGGCACAAGCAAAAACAGCAAATTTTCTTTTAACAATTATTTACAGTTTCAAAGTTCAAGACCATTTGAACATGAAAATGTGCCTGTATAGGCACAGGTTTAATGCCTCGCATTTGGATAATTTTATTTAAGACCTTAACAAGGTCTCATAACAAGAAACCTCCAATCGCAATATGGCCGGATTGCTACAGTACATTTTCATGTAAAGCATCACATGTGATAAGCATCCTTTAAGATACATAAGCCATGCAAGTTTAGTTGATGTAGGACAAGTAGTTACTTGGTAAGTGACCTAAGCCATAGTGCAGATGGGGCCTGACCTAAATCAAACTTCTTAGCATGGTAGGTCAAGCAGAATATGTAGGTCAGAAGCAGCCTCCGAAGCATCACATGTGATTAGCATACTTAGATACATAAACCATGCAAGTTTAGTTGGTGTGGGATAATTAATAACTTGGAAACTGAGCTTAACCATTCTTCTTAACCTTAGTGCAGGCAGACGGACAGACAGACAGATGGCGTTGCAATCCGGCTAATAATTCTACAATTATTTCTATCTGGGTGTGGGTCCTCTCAAAGTAATATTGCTTGAGAAAATTCTGTCAAATATTTCCTGAGAACAGTGACAACAAACATAAATTGTCAAAATCCAAGTCCAAGATGGCTGCTTGGTGGCCATCTTGTCCTTTTGCTATCGGTCTCAAAATGTTACATGAACAACTAAAAACCAAGGGAATTACCTATAAGTGAAATTTTAGAAAATATCTGTCAGATACTTCTTGAGAAAAAGCAATAAAAAACTTGAACTGATTGAAAGTGTTAAGTTTCAACAATTGAACTTCACACACTGTACTCTTACTGGTAAATCTATGTAACACAGATCAGTAAAAATATATTACTACCTGCAGATAAATTGATAAAATTTTGCGTTCTGTAAATATTTGTTCGAGTATGAACTAACTCTTGTCAGTAAATCAGTGTGGAGAAAGATTTTATCAAATAAAAATTGAATTTTGAAAATTGCAATTTATTTCATTTTCAATGAACAAATAATTTTCCGCAACAACATTTATTGATCCATGGTTCTGCAACACCGACCTTGTACCAGCGTGAAATGGAGCATGACATTTTCACACTTTCATAAGAAAAACATATATAGACATATCGTCAACATTTCAATAATTTCCGATAGCCCAGGGCGTTAATCTTATCAGGCGAATATCTGATTTTCATAAAGACATCTACAAAAATACAAAAACCACTATGAACCACACCAGCAGTTTTCGATACATACAGACGCGTTCATGGAGGTATGAACCTCAACAAGACAACAGTACAAACATACATGACCTCTGTTACAGAATATTTCACACACCTATTAAAAAAAATGGTCCATTACCATTTGATTCATGACCATACTGCATTTTTTTCTCCCGAGGAACAAACAAATATTTGATGTATGCTCGTAAACGATTTGGAGGTTGCCATTAAACTACAAAAAGGGAAATGATTATCTTGGTATTGTGACCAAAAATAATTGTTTATCAAATTGACCAAAAAATGGATTTTTCATAGATTTATGGGCCTTCAATTAGTTGTTTATTTGTAGCGGCGACATTTTGTTCACCTTTTAGACGTCCAATTATATCTACACTGTAGACACATATCCTGAGGCATTCAAACGTTTATCAACCCTGATCGTAAACATACTGCAGCAAGCATATACCTGTACAAGTACGTCAAGTATCGGTACTGTTGCTGTCACCAGTCAATTTGTTGCTGTCACCATTCAATTTAATCATCTTTTTCTATCCTCAATTTCGAATAATATTTGTTCAACTCCCTAATAGTAAAAACAATAATTCACCTTTTAATCAGAATATTCACTTTCTAGATATGGTAGAGTCTTTTTCAGAATTACTGTCTTGCAAAACAAAACAATTGCCATTTCCCTCTTATTTATTAAAATAAATGTGATGTGTGCTCCTTAAACTTCAAATCAAAATTAATAAAACACAAAAAAATCCAGATCTTATGGCAAAGATCGAGGAATATTAGGGAAGTTTTAGATTCAGTTATCACAGAGAAAATGTAAACAACCATCAACTGTAAAAACTTGCACAGAAGGTAATGAAATAATAATGGGGATATCATCTAGATTTGAATATCAATACATAGTTGAGACATGTGTCCATATTCTTTAGCCATTGAACTGGACATCACATAAGAACCTGTACGACCATCCCCATTTGACCACTGGACAATAGCTGTGGTCATCTTCGTGTCGAGCTGGTCATCTTCATAGGTGACCCTATCAATGCAATACCTGGGTAAGACCGGCGTAGTGACAGTTCGTTTTCAGACACAAATATCATCTTTTAATCCTTGAACAGTAGGATGCAGCGTTTTATGACTTATTTTACAGCTGTCGACCACGAATCACAATAATCTGCACCCCTGGGAGTGACCCGTCACATGACCTGTCCGAAAGGTCATGTGACCTTGGCTAGATGTCACTTGACCTTAGGGGCCATGTAGCCACTTTGTCATACAGCACAGACAGCTATTTAGGACCGTCCCTTTGTACTGTGACACTGTACTGTCCAGTGGTAATGCACATTTGAGTAAAGGTGGGCTTCCTGGGGAATCTTCCTCCACATAACTACTCATCTTATACAATGGAAATTTCTCAATAAATCAGACATCTTTATGTGAGGTGGTGTCCGCAGCATTAGAGCGGTCAAGGGTGGACAAGGCAGTCAACACGTTACTACAGATCTGGTGGTCATCTAAGTGGTGGACACGGTCATCGTGATGCTGCATTAACACCATTGGCTGGGCAACAGATCAAAAGGCTGGACTGACCATGCATGCCATTGACCGCTGTTTGGATATAGATGCATTTAAAATTTAGAAGCTACTTTATTACGTGTAATGTCCAAACTGACCACATATGTCTAATCTTGATAATGACTGAACTTACTACTGTTTGAACATAGTAGGCAGTTCACAACTGCTATGTACATAACTGGCCAAAGAGCTACATCACTGGCAAGTGTTTCATCAAACTATTTGGTTTAGTATTGTTTAACGTCCTATCAACAGCTATGGTCATTGAAGGACGGTCTCCCCTGTGTGCAAGATGCATGCGTGTAGTGTATGCGTGTGTTTTGGGAGGCTGCGATATGTTTGTGTTTGTCTCCTTGTGATAGCGCGGAACTGATACTGACTTTATAGTGATAACCTCACTGAAACATACTGTCGAAGACACCCAGCAGGACACCCCACCAGGTCACATTATACTGACAACGGGTGAACCAGTTGTCCCACTCCTAAATTGCTGAGCGTTAAGCAGGAGGAGTAGAAACTACCATTCTTACAGACTCTGGTATGCCTCGGCCAGGGGACAGAACCCAAAGCCTTCCTCACAGGGGCGATCGCTCAACTAAAGGCAAAAAGTGAGGCATTGTCAAGGGAGACATTAGGAAGAAGAAAGTTGTTTAGAAAGAAGAGAAGAGATAAGATCCCAAATTTAGTCGCCTCGTACGATCATGCAATGGGGGCAGCAGGTACAATTCTTACGCCCTACCTGCAGGGACAACAAACTAGGATATTTAAAATAAGTTTACTGCAAACTCCTAACTGACCATTTTACTGCAAACTCCAAACTAACCTTTCAATGTAAGTAAAATTTAACTGTAACATACATCATTTTGTCCAAAACTGACCAAAATGAACTTAAAGCTAGAGGTGTATAAATTAAGCTGACCGATGAAATGTCAATGACAAGGTATATTATACACAAACACTGATCAGTACAGAGTCACTAGAATGAAGGCATGAAATTTCTTATGAATGTTCACTAA